TAAGTTGGTCCTACAGCACCATCCTGAGTTAGTTTCTTAATCCTAAATTCTAATTTGATTGCACTGTGGTCTGAAAGACTGTTGGTTATAATTTCCATTCTTTTGCATTTGCTGAGGAGTGATTTCCAATTATGTGGTCAATTTTAGAGTAGGTGTGATGTGGTGCTAAGAAGAACGTATATTCTGTGGATTTTAGTGGAAAGTTTTGTATATGCCTATTAGGTTTGTTTGGTCCGGATCTGAGTTCAAGTATCAAGTCCTGGATATTCTTGTTAATTTTCTGTCTCATTGATCTGTCTAATATTGACAGTGGAGTGTTAAAGTCTCCCATTATTATTGTGTGGGAGTGTACATCTCTTTGTAGATCGTTAAGAATTTGCTTTATGTATCTGGGTGCTCCTGTTTGGGTGCGTATATATTTAGGATCATTAGCTCTTCTTGTTGCATTGATCCTTTTACCATTATATAATGCCCTTCTTTGTCTCTTTTTGATCTTGTTCATTTAAAGTCTATTTTATCAGAGACTAGGATTGTAACTCCTGCTTTTTTTTTGCTGTCCATTTACTTGGTAAATCTTCCGCAATCCTTTTATTTTGAGTCTATATGTGTCCTTGCACATGAGATCGGTTTCCTGGATATAGCACACTAATGGATTTTGACTTTTTATGCAGTTTGCCAGTCTTTGTCTTTTGATTGGGGCATTTAGTCCATTTACATTTAGGGTTAATATTGTTCTGTGTGAATTTGATTCTGCCATTTTAATGCTAGCTGGTTGTTTTCCCTGTTAGTTGATGCAGTTTTTTCATTGTGTTGATGCTCTTTACCATTTGGTACATTTTTGGAATAGCTGGTACTGGTTATTCCTTTGTATGTTTAGTGCTTCAAGGCAGGCCTGGTGGTGATGAAATCTCTGAGCAATTGCTTGTTCATAAATGATTTTATTTCTCCTTCGCTTGTGAAGCTTAGTTTGGCTGGATATGAAATTCTGGGCTGAAAGTTCTTTTCTTTAAGGATGTTGAATATTGACCCCCACTCTCCTCTGGCTTATAGGGTTTCTGCCAAGAAATCCACTGTGAGCCTGATGGGCTTCCCTTTGTGAGTAACCCGACCTTTCTCACTGGCTGCATTTTTTCCTTCATTTCAACCCTGGTGAATTTGATGATTATGTGCCTTGGGGTTGCTCTTGTTGGGGAATATCTTTGCAGTCTCTGTATTTCCTGGACTTTAATATTGGCCTGCCTTGCTAGGTTGGGGAAATTCTCCTGAATAATATCCTGAAGAGTGTTTTCCAGCTTGGATTCATTCTCTCCGTAACATTCAGTTACACCTATCAAATGTAGATTAGGTCTTTTCACATAATCCCACATTTCTTGGAGACTTTGTTCATTTCTTTTTACTCTTTTTTTCCTCTAGTCTTGCCTTCTTATTTTATTTCATTGAGTTGATCTTCAATTTCTGATATCCTTTCTTCTGCTTATTGGATTAGGCTATTGAAGCTGTGTATGCTTTGTGAAGTTCTCATGTTGTGTTTTTCAGCTCCATGAATTCATTTATATTCTTCTCTAAGCTGTTTATTCTTGGTAGCATTTTGTCAAACCTGTTTTGAGGTTTCTTAGTTTCTTTGCATTGGATTAAAGCATGTTCTTTTAGCTCAGAGAAGTTTGTTATTACCCACTTTCTGAAGCCTGTTTCTATGAATTCATTAGATTAATTCTTCATCTAGCTTTGTTCCCTTGCTGGTGAGGAGTTGTAATCCCTTGGAGGAGGAAGGACTTTCTGGTTTTGGGTCTTTTCATCCTTTTTGCACTGGTTCCTTCCCATCTTTGTGGATTTATCTCCCTATGGTCTTTGGTGACTTTCAGATAGGGTCTCTGAGTAGACATCCTTTTTGTTGAGGATGAAGTTATTTCTTTCTGTTTTTTTAGTTTTCCTTCTAACAGTGAGGCCCCTCTGCTGTAGGACTGCTGGAGTTCCACTCCAGACCCTGCTTGCCTGGGGATCACCTGCGGTGGCTGTAGAACAGTAAGGGTTGTTGCCAGTTTCTTCTTGTTATCTTTGTCCCAGAAGGATACCCGCCAGATGTCAGACTGAGCGCTCCTTTATGAGGTGTCTCTTTGGATATACAGGGCTTGGGGAGCTGCTTAAGGAGACACTCTGTTCCTTATTGGAGCTCAAATGCTGAGCTGTGAGCTCCGTTGTTCCGTTCAGAGCTGCTGGGCAGATACGTTTAAGTCTGCTGCAGCAGAACTGATAACCGCTTTTTTTTTCCCTAGGTGTTCTGTCCTGGGAAAGTAGGGCTTTATTTATAAGTTCCTGACATGCTGCTGCCTTTTTTCAGATATGCCCTGCCCAGTGAGGAGGTAGCCTAGTCACAGTCTGCCAGCAGAGGCATTGTTGAGCTGCCATGGGCTCTGCCCAGCTGCTGTGTGAACTTGTGATTTTTGTTTATAGAGGTGTAGTTAGAAGTGCCTTGGTAATGGCGGACTGCCCTTGTAATGGCAGACTTCCTCAGTAATGTCAGACTACCTCAGTAATGGCGGACTGCCTCAGTAATGGTGGACTGCCTCGGTAGTGGTGGACTGCCTCGGTAATGGCAGTTGCCCTTTGTCCCAGAGAGCTGGACTGTCCTGGGTCCATCAATGCTTGCTGTGAAATTTTCAATCAAGAGCATTTCAGATTGCTGTCTTTGTTGGGGTGGGACCTGCCAAGCCAAATCACCTGGCTCCCTGTTTCAGCTCCCTTTTTTTCAGTTGAATGGGCAACTCTGTTTCCCAGGTGTTCCAGGCGCTAATTGAAACGGCTACCCAGATTTGTGTGTGTTTGTATGGAGACCCACTGCGCTGGCTGAAACAACTGTGCTAGAAACTCGTGGCACTTTTCCACCTGGGAATCTCCGGGTCTGTGGGCAGTAAAAACTTGTTTGGAAGTGTGGTAATCACTCACCCTCTGTGTTCTTGCTGGGAACTGCACTCCAGAGCTGTTCATATTTGGCCATCTTGGATCATCCTATTATATTATTTATCTTAAAAAAATTTTTTTTTTTTGAGATGGAGTCTTGATCTGTTGGCCAGGCTGGAGTGCAGTGGTGCAATCTCAGCTCACTGCAACCTGCACCTCCTGGGTTCAAGTGATTCTCCTGCCTCAGCCTCTCAAGTAGATGGGATTACAGGTGCATGCCATCATGCCAGGCTAATTTTTGAATTTTTCTTAGGGACTTGGTTTCACCATGTTGGCGAGGTTGGTCTTGAATTCCTGACCTAAGGTGATCTGCCTGCCTTGGCCTCCCAAAGTGCTAGAATTACAGGCATGAGGCACTGTGCATGGCCATTTGCACTATTTTAAAATTGTCAGTATTATATCGTATAATTCTCTATGCTACATATTTTATCTTTGCATTGTCTTCAACATTGGAGGTATAAATTGTATAGAGACTTTTAGAGTGTTCTAATTTGTTTTATGTATTTTTTTTCAAATTTGACTCCACAGAGGTACATTTCATAACATGGACTTTGTGTATAACCATTGTGCTTATTGATAAAAATGTTGAAACTTTCACAATTGATGAAGAGATATCCATTTGTATGTCTGCATTTGTGAAAGATGAATTTTCTCAAGGTCATTGTTCTTTGGGTAACTGACTACATGTGTGGTGGCAACCCATCACAGTTTTTGATTGATCTTGTCAAAAGACTTAGGTTATTCATCAAGTTATTTCAGATGACTGCAGTTGTTTAAGCTATTTCTTTATGACTACAGTTACCTGCTCATAACTGCTGCATCTTTGCAACTCATTAATATACCTGAGTGTTTATGTTTGCAAAAATGTTGTTATTATCACCTGGTTTATTGTGTAAAGTGGCCTCTGAAGGGTTCTGCCATGTTTTTATATGTTTCTCAAATAAATGGCCTCTTTAAAAATGAACAGGATTGGCACAGTGGCTCATGCCTGTAATCTAGCACCTGGGGAGGCCAAAGCAAGATTACTTGAGCCCAGGAGTTCAAGACCAGCCTGGGCAACATAGTGTGTCTCTACAACAGATTTTTTTTTTTTTAATCAGCTGAGCACAGTGGCACACAACTGTAGTCCTAGCTACTCAGAAGGCTGAGGCGGGAGGATTGTTTGACCTCAGGAGGTCAAAGCTTCGGTGAAGTATGATTCTGCTACTGCATCAGCCTGGGTGACACAGCAAGACCCTGTCCCTTAAAAAAAAAATGTAAATAAATGTATTTTAAAGAATGTTTAAAATTACTTTTTCCAATATTTTCAGGATTTTGATCTTTTGAAATTGTGATTTTGGGGATTTTAGACTTCAGGGATTTTGATCTTCTGGGATTTCAAAATTCGAGATTATGGTGTTTTGGGAATTATGGCCCCAACCCATCACAAGACCAGCCCAGCTGAAGAGGCAGGGAAGGAGAAGTTGATGGGAAGTGGGGTATGCGTGTATGGGAGGAGTTGTTGGCAACCATCTTGGGAGTCAGTCTGTCACAGCCTGCTGAACATATTCACACTGTGTCTGGTGAAGCTCATTACCTGCTTAAGGATGTATGCTTTTAAGCAGTAGCTAAACTGTGAGTCAGAGAAGTGAATTTTTAAATTAGACTTTCAAATGTGAGCAATGAATATCTATAATTTCTAATTTGAGGAGTGAGAAGATAAAAGTACAATTTTTATTCCCAGAAAACTTCAGCAAATACTTATTAAGCCTTCTATTATGTATGCACTTTGCTAGGTACTGAAAAGCAATTCAGAAGTAGTCAATAGCTTACGACCTGTGTGACTTAGGGAAAGTCATTTAACTGCTTGGCATCTGTTTGCTAATCTAAGGACAACATGTACGGACCTTGTATACTACCTGGCATGGAATAATTGCTCACTGAGTGTTACTTTTCTTTCCTTTTTTTTTTTTAATCTTCCTCAAAAAATACTGGGCATGGTGGCTCCTGTAGTTCTGTGCCCTGTTTTCTTAGCATTAACTTGAGTTGTTTTATTTGAACAGGTACCGCTCACATGATAGAGGCTGATGTCCTTCTTCCAAGTGATGGGGCAGAACACAGCCAGCCAATTATGGCCCATCCCCCTGAAACAAACAGTGATAATATGCTACAGGAGTGGCTGACTGAAGTTACGAAAAGCAATAAAGGCATCAAGCTGGATTTCAAGAGGTATTTGTATAAACATGTTCAATTTTCTGGGAAAAAAGTAATAGCTATGCCTTACTACCTATTTTTTTTATGTTGTCCAAACTGAAAATGGAATTGTAGACTTTAATATATTTCAGAACTGAACCTAAATGAACCTAAGACCCACTGAATCACCAAAATTGTTTTTTGGAGACCCTTAAAGGCTAAAGTTAGATTAATTTTTATAAAGGAATTTATCATAAGTGACCATTGTGACAACAGAAAGATAAATTAAAAATGTGATTTTTGTTAAAAAATAGCCCAGGAGAGAGGGAGCTGGGAGAAATTCATTGAGCTAGTTAATGCATATCCTATTTGATTTATATTATATGTTTGTAAAGGGAAATATTGAGAATTCTCCAATTACCAAAGTGTTCCTTAAACATAATATTTGGAGGTAGCCGGGTGCATTGGCTCACACCTGTAATCTTAGCACTTTGGGAGGCTGAGGCAGGTGGATCAGCTGAGGTCAGAAGTTCAAGACCAGCCTGCCCAACATGGTGAAACATCATCTTTACTAAAAATACAAAAAATTATCCAGGCATGGTGGTGCGTGGCTATACTTCCAGCTACTTGGGAGACTGAGGCAGGAGAATCATTTGAATCTGGAGGCAGAGGTTGCAGTGTGCTGAGATCACACCACAGCACTCCAACCTAGGCAACAAGAGTGAAACTGTCTCAAAAAAAAAAGATCATAAACTTTTTTAGTTATGAATTGTTCAATTTCATTTTATTGACAAAGAAACAGTTTCCAGAGGGGTTAAGTGATTTACCTAAGGGCAACAGGTAACCTTTGACAGGTAAACTACAACCAGATCCTAGGTCTCCTGAAACCAGTCCAGTGTTCTCCATATCATGAAGTAAAGTATTTGACCTTTAGTGCTTGATGGCTTAAACTTTTAGATCTCCTTGAGTTACCGTGTTTTTCATGTTTACTGTTTCCCCTTGAATTGTTCCCTGTGATATCTTCTTTGGCTTCTCACCAGTCAGATCAGCTCATTCATTCTTAAATGCTAGCAGCTACCACAAAAGGGCGAGCCGCTGGAACAAAGATTTTGCAAGTTTTTAAAAAAATCATAACATATTTGAAGGGGATTCAATATAAACTGATAGGTATATGAACACCTATTATATGTCAGACACTGTTCTTAAAGCATTGCATGTATTTTTCATGAAATTCTTATAACAATCCTAAAAGGTAGGTTATTACTGTTATTCTCATTTTCCAGATGAGGCAATGGAGATGGAGGGGGTAAGGAGGCCGCTTGTCACATTTTGGTAATGGAACTAGAGAGCTGTCAGCCTGGCTGGAGAGTTCATACTCTTAACCAGGTTGCCACACTCACTCCCTTTGTAAGAGCAGCTGAATGACCTGTTAGTTGAATTTTGCCAGTTCTTGTTTTGTGCTTCTAAGTTATTTTGTTTGGTACACAAATAAAAACATTATATTTTAAAACTTTATCTGGAGTCTCGGCAAGCTCTTCAATATTTTAGCAAAGAATTATTTTCCCTTAACATGCAATTTTATATAGTTTGTTACAATTTTAAGCATGATATTTATTTTTTCATTCCCAATTTCTAAATGAAATTAATAGGAAAGCAGGATATGATATTTAGAAGTTTGATTTACAAATAACTTTTTGGGAAAAAATATGTTCTATAATAACTAAGTTTATATTCTTTTCAGGAGACTTAAATAAATACCACCAAAGAACAATTTTAGGTAGTATTCTAATCAGGACTTTCTTCTTCAGATGATCATCTTAGTGAAGCTCTGGCACTTCCTTATGAGAAACTTAGTAGCAATACATGTAAGAATTGAGAATGTTGGCCATTGTATTTTAAGCTAGAATAACATGGAATTTATAGGTTAATTTAGAAGGATGTGTCATTTTATAATACGTGTACTATTTAGCCTTCCAGGCTGGGTCTGTTATTTCTTGTGGTATATACTAGTCCTCTGTTATCTGCAGTTTCAGTTACCTACAGTACACCATGGTCTAGAAGTATTAAATGGGAAATTCCAGAAATAAACAATGAATACGTTTTAAATTTCACACCATTCTGAGTAGTGTGGTGAAACCTTGTACTTTCCCCCTCCAACCCACCTGGGGTGTGACTCAACCCTTCCCTTTGTCCAGCATATCCACACCGCATATGCTGCCCACCTATTAGTCACTTAATAGCCGTCGTGGTTATCAGAGTGACAAATCATAAAAAGAATGGTGAGTACAGTCCAGTAAGCTATTTTGAGAGAGAGAGAGAGAGAGACCGCATTCACATAACTTTTATTATAGTATATTGCTATAATTGTTCTATTTAAAAAAATTATTAGTTTTTGTTGCTAATATTTTACTGTGCCTAATTTATAAATTAAACTTTATTAGAGATAGGTATGTGTAGGAAAAAAAGCAAAGTACATACAGGGTTAGATGCTATGTGGTTTTAGGCATCTGCTGGTGGTCCTGGAACATATTCCCTGCAGATAAGGGGCACTACCGTACATTTTATTTTGTTGTTTAGGACAGTTTGTCCTCAGTCCTTTTTTCCCCTACAACAGTTACACCTTTTCTTCCAGAAGAACTTTAGAATGATTTTCTCAAGTTTTAGAAAATATTAACTACAACAACAAAAACTTTTTGGTTCCTTAGTGAGGTTTTAAATTTAACCACAGGTTTTGTTTTTTTATTTAAGTTTCTGATAAGGGAAAATATTATTATCTTTAGTCTACATTAGTGATAATGAAAACATTTACATATAAAATGAATAAATGTATTAAATTCTTGCTTCATTATGTTCTTTGTCATAGCTTCTTTAACTGCATGTAATAGGCACTTAGTAAACACTGGTGGAATTTCGATTTTTGGGAGAAGACGCTGTTTGAAACTGGACATTGGCCAGGTGCGGTGGCTCACACCTATAATCCCAGCACTTTGGGAGGGCAAGGAGGGCAGATCACTTGAGGTCAGGAGTTCAAGACCAGCCTGGCCAACATGGTGAAACCCAATCTCTACTAAAAATACAAAAATTAGCTGGGCATGGTGGCACATACCTGTAGTTCCAGCTACTCAAGAGACTAAGGGAGATGAATGGCTTGAACCCAGGAGGCGCAGGTTGCAGTGAGCTTGAGGTTGGTGACAGAGCAAGATTCTGTCTCCAAAAAGAAGAAACTAGATATTATCAGATGGAGAATCAATCTTAAACTACTCTATGTCAGCCTACTGAATTGAGAAAGCCTAAGAAGCTCTCTCTTGAAATGTAAACTGGAGATTAGTATTTAATCCAGCTTCCATGGACACCAGATTTCATAAGAAATCAGAGTCCTTTCTGGAAAAAGAGCTTGGCAGGAGACATGCATGGATTAGTTCAAGGTTTTTCCTTACTCCACCCATGAAGAGTAGTACTTCGTGGGGACTTGGCTGCCGCTATGGGACTGACAGACGAGAACCTTTGGAGTCACAGGCACAAGTTGCTTGCTACCAAAAATAGAATTTTGGTAGGAAGTACAGTGTTGGATCTCCATATTGTGGTTTTAACATGGTGTTGATACAGGGCAAGGCAGGGAGAATTTAAAAGAGACAAATGACGAGATCTCAATTAAAGTCTGCAGAGTCCAGCATTAGGGGTTATGTATCCACTAAAACCTTGGCCCTCCATTTCAGGGGCAGAAGAGTGAGAAGGAAGTGTACCATGTGGGAGCAGAGAGAAAGGGGCTAGAGGCTAAGGGATAGAGCCTGGGTTCCTCTGATTTTGGTACATAATATCCTTGCTCACTGGTAAACCTGATCCAATAAATAATGAGATTATTCAGATTTCTCCTCTTAGAGTAAATGGCTCAAAAGGAGTGGAGAGAAGAGAGGTGGAAGCATAGATAGTACTGCAGTCTCTTAGGCAGAGAGATGGAAGAGTGAGGAGGGGTCACTGAATGTTCTCCCCTCAATGTCCATCTCCAGAGTTCTTAGCCTCCTGTTACAATATTCACTGCAAGGTAATTTTCTTTTTCTTTTTCATTTGAGACAGAGTTTTGCTTTTGTTGCCCAGGCTGGAGTGCAAAGGCGTGATCTCAGCTAACCGCAACCTCTGCCTCCCAGGTACAAGCAATTCTGCTGCCTTGGCCTCCCAAGTACCTAGGATTACAGGCATGCACCACCACACCTGGATAGTTTTTGTATTTTTAGTAGAGATGGGTTTCACCATGTTGGCTAGGTTGGTCTCAAACTCCTGACCTCAGGTGATTCACCTGCCTCAGCCTCCCAAAGTGCTGGGATTACAGTCATGAGCCACCATGCTTGGCTAGTAATTTTCTTATAAATCAACATAGGCAAGTAAAAATTATGGAAGCTGATTAAAACCTTATTATTTCAAAGTCTGTAGGTATCAGCTAGAATAGATGTTGGGAAGTAAAAAGAGTGAAGTTGCTTTTTTGATTTAAACTAAAATATACGTTTCTAGTTTTCAGAAAACGTTCTTACAATTAAAAAAAGAAAAACTTATGAAAAGTTTAAGGAAATTAATTTTATATTTTGCAGTCATTTTTAGAATTATGTTTATGTATCCAAACTCACCCAAAAATACGTAAAGGAAAGAAGCTACTTTTTTTCTCTAGAGTCATGAGCCTAAATTAGAAATACAGTGCTTGGATCCACTTGGATATTTCATAAATGTGAATTTACAGGTTATATGTGTATTTCACTTATCTTATTTATACATTCTCTGATTGAATATTTGTGTCTCTTAAAAAAATTGTTTTCACACTAAGTGATCTTAATATAGAGTTTTGAAACCTCTATTTTGTCCACAAGTAGTAGCATTAGTAATATATTTATAGACACTTTATGGTATATTCATGAATACTAAATGCAATTCAACATTGAGAGATATGGTCTATGTTAGCTTTTCCCTTGGGTGCTATGTGATCTTTGATTTTATTTAACCCCGATATTACTGTATTTTTATTATGAATTTGAGAACATTAAGACCACTAGTCTAAAAGAACTTCTTTCTACTTTACCTTAGGAATCTATCTCATTGACAATGAATTATGTTTTTAGTCTGGCAGCTGTAGAACCATCCATGATGCTCTTGGAAAATATGAAGAGGCATCTGAAGCGTCCTGTATGGATTAATGCTGATATTCTTCCTGGTCCAAATGGAAATAGCAAAGTAATAGAGGCAAAACCATTTTTAGACATCGTGACATCCTTCTTTCCAGACGTGACATTTTCCCTGGGCTGGACAACAGGATGGCATCCAGAGAAAGTCAATGAAGGTGATAATTCTAATAACATATTTCTTATTGGTCAAATTGAAGTACCTCCAAGTATAAAAATAACATCTTTAATACAAATCCCAAAACACATTCTACAAAATCTAAGGCTAATGGAAAAGAAGGCTTGACTCTGCAGGTATGTGTAGACACTTCTGTCTTCCCTTTCAGATAGATGCCGTGTTCACTGGGGACGCTACAAATTTTAAGGGAGTGTATACATTTATAGGCATATAAGTAAAGCTTCTATTAGCAATCTCATTTTCTAATTTTTAAAATTGGAATTTTCCAGTGGATCACTTCACCTCTTTTTATCAGGAAATTAGCTATTAAATTAACATATTCACTTAATATTTCTGTAAAATGTTCCTTTATTGACTGACCAATAGTTTTTACAACTTGATTTTGATAGAGTGTAGAGTTATTTCAAATATATATGTTCTGGCCGGACATGGTGGCTCATGCCTGTAATCCCAGCACTTTGGGGAGGCCAAGGTGGGCAGATGAGCTGAGGTCAGGAGTACAAGACCAGGCCAACATAGCGAAACCCCATCTCTATTAAAAACATAAAAGTTAGCCAGGCATGATGGTGCATGCCTGAAGTCCCAGCTACCCAGGAGGCTGAGGCAGAATTGCTTGAACCCAGGAGGCGGAGGTCGCGGTGAGCCAAGATCGTGCCAGTGCACTCCAGCTTGGGCAACAAAGTGAGACTGTGTCTCAAAAAAAAAAAGTATATATACTTATCTTTATTACATATATGTATATATTTTATTTATATTTATAAATATATATACTATGTACGTACACATATATATGTATATATATACTTTTTTGAAGGTGTTTATAACAAGCAAATGTGTTTTCCACGTCTTTTTTTTTTTTTGAGACTGATTCTTGCTCTGTTGCCCAGGGTGGAGTGCAGTGGCACAATCTCAGCTCACTGCAACCTCCACCTCCCAACTTCCCAGGTTCAAGCGATTCTTGTGCATCAGCCTCTTGAATAGCTGGGATTACAAGTGTGTGCCACTGCACCCAGCTCATTTTTGTATTGTTTTAGTAGAGACGGGGTTTTACCATATTGGCCAGGCTGGTCCTGACCTCCAGTGATCTGCCCACCTCGGCCTTCCAAAGTGTTGAGATTACAGGTGTGAGCCACTACAGCTGGCCTTTTTTTTTTTTTTTTTTTGGAAAGAAACAGGGTCTAGCTCTGTCACTCAGGCTGGGTGCAGTGGTACCATCATGGCTCACTGTAGCTTCAACCTCCTGGGCTTAAGTGATCCTCCCACTTCAGTCTCCAGAGTAGCTGGGACCACAGGCACACACCATCACAGACAGCTAATTTTTAAATTTTTTGTAGAGGTCCACACAATGTTGCTTACTTAGACTGGTTTCAAACTCCTGGGCTCAAGCAATCCTCCCACTTTGGCCTCCCAAAGTGCTGGGATTGCAGGCATAAACCACCATGGCTGGCCCACAATATCTTAACATGATTTAAATATATATAAAATATATACATATATATATAGTCCATTTTACCACTATTTCTACTTTAAGTAATATATACAGGTAATTTAGGCAAGCCAAAAAGAAAACTGATTTGATGTTAATTATCACTTAAACAGCTGGTGTATACACCAAAGCTACTTTTTGTTGGAAAAGAAAATTTAGCAAAAATAGGAAATCCAAGTTTATAGAGAAAAATAATGATGCAGATGTACCTAAAACAAGGATCTTAAAATCTTTAAGGTAAATAAGATCTAGTGGTGTAAAATTTCTTTTCTTGTGCCTGAGAGATTAGTAAAACCTTTTTAATGCATTAATTTTTCATTAAATTTGCTCTAGGTCACTTGTGGCATGAGTTTTTATCGACATTTTCCATTTAGTTTTTTTTTTTTTTTGCATTAAGTAGAATTTTAATTCACTGGAATTCAAATGGAAATTATTATGAATTAATTACCTATGAATTTACCAGCGAAACCATTTATCTATGGTTTTACCTAATTACAGGTAATTTAGTCTTTAATTGGCTTTCGAGACTTCAATCAATAAAGTTAAAATTTTTTTTTAAGGGTACAGCTGGACCATGGTGAAAGAGATGGAATATATATGTAATGAACTAAGTCAGCCTGTAACGTTCCCTGTCAGAGCTGCATTAGTCAAGCAGTCTTGTTCTCAGTTACTTTGGCTGTTAAAGAAATCAAACAGGTATGTAATAGTTTAACAATATGATATGTGCATGTGAGTGGGCATGAGAGACAGAGAGGGCATGAAAATTGATTATGTAAGGACAGTGTGTGTGAGAGAAAGGTAGATGGAAAAGGAATGAAAATTGATGATGAAAGTGCACAGACTCTCGCCAGATTGGAGCTCCTTGATGAACCTTAACTTACTTAACATTGTATATTTTACCCCTATTCCTCACAGAAGTTTTTGTACATAGTAGGTGCCCAATAAATTATAGCTGTCTTTTTATTAATTATTATTAAACTTTAAATTCTGGGATACATGTGCAGCACATGCAGGTTTATTATAAAGGTATACACTTGCCATGGTGGTTTTCTGCACCCATCAATCCATCATCTATATTAGGTATTTCTCCTAATGCTATCCCTCCCCTAGCCCTCCACCCCTGACAGGCCCTGGTGTGTGATGTTCTCCTCCTTGTGTCCATGTGTTCTCATTGGTCAACTCCCACTTATAAGTGAGAACATGCAGTGTTTGATTTTCTGTTCCTGTGTTAGTTTGCTGAATGATGGTTTCAAGAGTCATCCATGTCCCTGCAAAGGACATGAACTCATCTTCTTTTATGATGTATATTTATTTATGGTGTATATGTGCTACATTGTCTATCACTGATGGGCGTTTGGGTTGGTTCCAAGTCTTTGCTATTGTGAATATTGCTGCAACAAACATACATGTGCATGTGTCTTTATAGTAGAATGACTTACGATCCTTTGGCTATATACCCAGTAATGGGATTGCTGGCTCAAATTGTATCTCTGGTTCTAGATCCTTGAGGTATTGCCACACTGTCTTTCACAATGATTGAACTAATTTATCCTCCCACCAACAGTGTAAAAGTATCCCTATTTCTCCACATCCTCTGCAGCATCTATTATTTCCTGACTTTTTAATGATCACCATTCTAACTGGTGTGAGATGGTATCATTGTGGTTTTGATTTGCATGTCTCTAGTGACCAGTGGTGATGAGCTTTTTTCATGTTTGCTGGCTGTATAAATGTATTTTGAGAAGTAACTGTTCATATTCTTCACCAACTTTTTGATGGGGTTGCTTGCCTTTTTCTTGTAAATGTGTTTAAGTTCCTTGTAGATTCTGGATATTAGCCTTGTCAGATGGGTAGATTGCAAAATTTTCTCCCATTCTGTAGGTTGTCTGTTCAATGCTAATGATAGTTTTTTTTTGTTTTTTTTTTGCTGTGCAGAAGCTCTTTAGTTTAATTAGATCCCATTTGTCAATTTTGGCTTTTGTTGCCATTGCTTTTGGTGTTTTAGTCATGAAGTCTTTGCCCATGCTTATGTTCCTGTATGATACTGCCTAGGTTTTCTTATAGGGTTTTCATGGTTTTAGGTTTTAGGTTTAGGTCTTTAGGGTTTTTAAATTATACAATCATGTCATCTGCAAACAGAGACAATTTGACTTTCTTTCTCCTATTTGAATACACTTTGTTTCTTTCTCTTGCCTGATTGCCCTGGCTAGAACTTCCAATACTATGTTGAATAGGAGTGGTTAGAGAGGGCATCCTTGTCTTGCACTGGTTTTCAAAGGGAATGCTTCCTGTTTTTGCCCATTCAGTATGATATTGCCTGTGGATTTGTCATAAATAGCTCTTAGTATTTTGAGATACGTTCCATCAATACCTAGTTTATTGAGAGTTTTTGGCATGAAGGGGTGTTGAATTTTATCAGGGGCCTTCTCTGCATCTATTGAGATAATCATGTAGTTTTTGTCATTGGTTCTGTTTATGTGATGGATTACGTTTATTGATTTGCGTGTGTTGAACCAGCCTTGTATCCCAGGGATGGAGCTGACTTGATCATGGTGGAGAAACTTTTTGATGTACTACTGGATTCGGTTCGCCAGTGTTTTATTGGGGATTTTTGCATCAATGTTTATCAGGGATATTTGCCTGCAACTGTCTTTTTTGGTTGTGTCTCTGCCAGGTTTTGGTATCAGGATGATGCTGGCTTCATAAAATGAGTTAGTGAGGAGTCGCTCTTTTTCTATTGTTTGGAATAGTTTCAGAAGGAATGGTGCCAGCTCCTCTTTCTACCTCTGGTAGAATTTGGCTGTGAATCTGTCTGGTCCTGGGCTTTTTTTGGTTGATAGGCTATTAATTACTTCTTGAATTTCAGAACTTGTTATTGGTCTATGCAGGGATTTGGCTTCTTCCTGGTTTATTCTTGGGATGGTGTATGTGTCCTGGATTTTATCCATTTCTTCTAGATTTTCTAGTTTATTTGCATACAGGTGTTTATAGTGTTCTCTGGTGGTAATTTGTATTTCTGTAGTACCAGTGGTGATACCTCTTTATTATTTTTATTGTGTCTATTTGATTCTTCTCTCTTTTCTTCTTTATTAGTCTGGCTAATGGTCTATTTTGTTAATATTTTCAAAAAGCCAGCTCCTGGATTCATTGATTATTTGAAGAGTTCTTCATGTCTCTATCTCCATTAGTTCTGCTCTAATCTTAGTTATTTCTTGTCTTCTGCTAGCTTTTGAATGTGTTTGCTCTTGCTTCTCTAGTTTTTTAAATTGTGATGTTAGGGTGTTGATTTTAGATCTTTCCTGCTTTTTCCTGTGGGCATTTAGTGCTCTACATTTCCCTCTAAACACTGCTTTAGCTGTGTCCCAGAGATCCTGGTACATTGTGTCTTTGTTCTCTTTGGTTTCAAAGAACTTATTTATTTCTGCCCTAATTTTGTAATTTACCCAGTAGTCATTCTGGAGCAGGTTGTTCAGTTTCCATGTAGTTGTGTGGTTTTCAGTGAGTTTCTTAATCCCAAGTTCTAATTTGATTGCACTGTGGTCTAAGAGACTGTTTATTATATCCATTCTCTTGCATTGCTGAAGAGTGTTTTATTTCCAATTGTGTGGTCAATTTTAGAATAAGCACAATGTGGTACTGAGAAGAATGTATATACTGTTGATTTGGGGTGGACAGTTCTGTAGATGTCTATTAGGTCCACTTGGTTTAGAGCTGAGTTCAAGTCCCGAATGTTCTTGTGAGTTTAATGTCTTACTGATCTAATATTGACATTGGGCTGTTAAAGTCTCCCACTCTTATTGTGTGAGAGTCTAAGTCTCTTTATAGGTCTCTAAGAACTTTCTTTATGAATCTGGGTGCTCCTGTATTGGGTGCGTATGTATTTAGGATAGTTAGCTCTTCTTGTTGCATTGATCCCTTTACCATTGTGTAATGCCCTTCTTTGTCTTCTTTGACCTTTGTTGGTTTAAAGTCTGTTTTACCAGAGACTAGGATTGCAACCCCTGCTTTTTTTTTTTTTTTCTTTCTATTTGCTTGGTAAATATTCCTCCATCTCTTTATTTTGAGCCTTTGTGTGTCTTTGCACATGAGATGGGTCTTCTGAATACAGCACACTGAGGAGTCTTGGCGCTTTATCCAATTTGCCAGTGTGTGTCTTTTAATTAGGGCATTTAGCCCATTTACATTTATGGTTAATATTGTTATGTGTGAATTTGATCTTGTCATTATGATGTTAGCTGGTTATTTTGCCCATTAGTTGATGCAGTTTCTTCATAGTATCAATAGTCTTTACAATTTGGTATGTATTTTCAGTGGCTGGTACCAGTTTTTCCTTTCTATACTTAGTGCTTCCTTCGGGAGCTCTTGTAAGGCAGGCCTGGAGGTGACAAAATCTCTCAGCATTTGCTTGTTTGTAAAGGATTTTATTTCTCCTTTGCTTGCAAAGCTTAGTTTGGCTGGATATGAAATTCTAGGTTGAAAATTCTTTTCTTTTTTTTTTTTTAATATTTTTATTGCATTTTAGGTTTTGGGGTACATGTGCAGAGCATGCAATACAGTTGCATAGGTACACACATGGCAGTGTGTTTTGTTTGCTTTCTCCCCTTCACCCACATTTGGCATTTCTCCCCAGGCTATCCCTCCCCACCTCCCCCTCCCACTGGCCCTCTCCTTTTCCCCCCAATAGACCCCAGTGTTTAGTACTTCCCTCTCTGTGTCCATGTGTTCTCATCTTTCATCATCCGCCTATGAGTGACAATATGCGGTGTTTCATTTTCTGTTCTTGTGTCAGTTTGCTGAGAATGATGTTCTCCATATTCATCCATGTCCCTACAAACAACACGAACTCATCATTTCTGATTGCTGCATAATATTCCATGGTGTATATGTGCCACATTTTCCCAATCCAGTCTATCATCAATGGGCATTTGGGTTGATTCCAGGTCTTTGCTATTGTAAACAGTGCTGCAATAAACATTCGTGTGCATGTATCCTTATAGTAGAACGATTTATAGTCCTTTGGGTATATACCCAGTAATGGGATTGCTGGGTCAAATGGAATTTCTATGTCTAAGGCCTTGAGGAATCGCCACACTGTCTTCCACAATGGTTGGACTAATTTACACTCCCACCAACAGTGTAAAAGTGTTCCTTTTTCTCCACATCCTCTCCAGCATCTGTTGTCTCCAGATTTTTTAATGATCGCCATTCTAACTGGCGTGAGATGGTATCTCAATGTGGTTTTGATTTGCATCTCTCTGATGACCAGTGACGATGAGCATTTTTTCGTATGATTGTTGGCCTCATATATGTCTTCTTTCGTAAAGTGTCTGTTCATATCCTTTGCCCAATTTTGAATGGGCTTGTTTGTTTTTTTCCTGTAAATCAGTTTGAGTTCTTTGTAAATTCTGGATATCAGCCCTTTGTCAGATGGGTAAACTGCAAAAATTTTTTCCCATTCTGTTGGTTGCCGATTCACTCTAGTGACTGTTTCTTTTGCCGTGCAGAAGCTGTGGAGTTTGATTAGGTCCCATTTGTCTATTTTGGCTTTTGTTGCCAATGCTTTTGGTGTTCTGTTCATGAAGTCCTTGCCTACTCCTATGTCCTGGATAGTTTTGCCTAGATTTCCTTCTAGGGTTTTTATGGTGCCAGGTCTTATGTTTAAGTCTTTAATCCATCTGGAGTTAATTTTAGTGTAA